AATTCCCACCTGGTCCAGGTCGGCGTGGTAGATGAGGTGCTCAACCTCCACCCCAAAACCTCCCAAAAATTCCCCAAAATTCCCTAAAACCACCCCAAAACCCCTTAAAAATTACCCCGAACCACCAAATTTTGGGGATTTTTTTGGGAATTTTGGGATTTTTTGGGAATTTTGGGAATTCTCACCTGGTCCAGGTCGGCGTGGTGGATCAGGTGCTCGGCCTCCACCCCGGCCCAGTCGGGGCTGGGGGGGCTGAGCCAAAGTTTCACCTCGGGGGGTCCCAGGCGCCCGTCCTGGTCCTGGTCCCGAATTTTTAGGAATTGTTCCCGTTCCCGTTGGATTTCGGGGGGCTCGGGGGAGCCGGGGGGGCCCTCGAATAAATCAGCTGGGGGGGAAAGAAGAGAAAAGGTGAGTCCACAAAAAATTCCCCAAAATTCCCCCAAAAAAACCTCAAAAAATCCCCCCAAAATACCTCAAAAAAGCCCCAAAAATCCCAAAATAACCTCAAAAAAGCCCCAAAAAAACCTTAAAAAATCCCCCAAAATTCCACAAAGAACATCAAAAAAGCCCCAAAAAACCCCTAAATCATCTCCCAAAATTCCACAAAAACACCCCAAAAAATCCTCAAAGAACCCCCCAAAATCCCAAAAAACCCCTCCAAAAATCCCCCAAATTCCACAAAAAACACCCCCAAAATTCCACAAAAAACACCGGATTTTGTGGGAATTTTGGGAATTCTCACCTGGTCCAGGTCGGCGTGGTGGATCAGGTGCTCGGCCTCCACCCCGGCCCAGTCGGGGCTGGGGGGGCTGAGCCAAAGTTTCACCTCGGGGGGTCCCAGGCGCCCGTCCTGGTCCTGGTCCCGAATTTTTAGGAATTGTTCCCGTTCCCGTTGGATTTCGGGGGGCTCGGGGGAGCCGGGGGGGCCCTCGAATAAATCAGCTGGGGGGGAAAGATGAGAAAAGGTGAGACCACAAAAAATTCCCCGAAATTCCCCCAAAATCCCCAAAAAAACCCCACAAAATCCCAAAAAAGCTCAAAAAAGCCCCAAAAAATCCCAAAGAAACCTCAAAAAAGCCCCAAAAAAACCTTTAAAAATCCCCCAAAATTCCACAAAAAACCTCAAAAAAGCCCCAAAAAACCCCTAAAAAAATTTCCCAAAATTCCACAAAAACACCCCAAAAAATCCTCAAAGAACCCCCCAAAATCCCAAAAAAACCCTCCAAAAATCCCCCAAAATTCCGAAACCCCAATAAAACCCCCCAAACCCACCCCCCCCCACCCAAAATCCAAAAAAAACCCCAAAAAATCCCAAAAAAAAGCCTCAAAGAACACCCCAAAATCCCAAAAAAAACCCCTCAAAAATCCCCAAAAATAAAAAAACCTCAAAAAATTCCCCAAAAATCCCCCAAAAAACCCCTCACAAAACCACAAAATTCCCCCAAAATATCCCCAAAGAACCCCCCAAAATCCCCCAAAAAAACCCTCAAAAAATCCCCCAAAAATTACACAAAATAATACCAAAAAACCCCAAAAATCCACCAAAAATTAAAAATAAAATCCCACCAAAAATGCCCCAAAAACCCCGAAAAATGCCCCAAAAAGGCCCAGTCTGAGCCCATTTTCTGCTCCCGTTCCCGTTGGATTTCGGGGGGGCCCTCGAATAAATCAGCTGGGGGGGAAAGAAGAGAAAAGGTGAATCCACAAAAAATTCAGATCATAAAAAGCCCAAAAAATGTAAAAAAACTCCACAAAAAGCAAAAAAACCCCCTAAAAATGCCCCAAAAAATCTCCAGAAAAAGCCAAAAAGCACCCCAAAAAAAAAATTAAAAAGCCCCCAAAAAAGCCCAAAAAATTCAAAAAATCCCACCCAAAAACCCACGAGAAATCCCACCAAAAAAAGCACAAAAAACCCTGAAAAAGCACCCCAAAAAATCACCCCAAAAATAGTCAAAAAAACCCAAAAACCCCCAAAAATTAAAAAAAATCCCACCCAAAAAACCTGAAAAAAACACCCAAAAAATCCCCCCAAAAAACCCCCAAAATCCCACAAAATAATCCCGAAAAACCTTCCAAAAAACCCAAAAAATATCCCCCAAAAAACCCCTCAAAAGCAAAACAAAAATACCACAAAAAAACCCAAAAAACCCCCAAAAATCCCCTCAAAAATTTCCAAAAAATTTCCCAAAAATCCTCCAAAATTTCCCAAAAAATCCCTAAAATATTCCCTGAAAATTCTTCCAAAAATCCCAGAAAAACCCTCAAAAAATTAAAAAAAAACCCAAAAAAGCCCCCAAAACTCTCAACAATCCCAAAAAATCCCCCAAAATCCCAAAAAGTCCTCCCAAAAATACACCCAAAAATTCAAAAAAATCCCCAAAAAATCCTGAAATAAGCCCTCCAAAATTCCCAAAAAACCCCCCAAAACTCTCAACAATCCCAAAAAATCCCCCAAAATCCCAAAAAGTCCTCCCAAAAATACACCCAAAAATTCAAAAAAATCCCCAAAAAATCCTGAAATAAGCCCTCCAAAAATTCCAAAAAAACCCCCAAAATCCAAAAAAATTCCCCTCAAAAAATTCCAAAAAAATCTCCCCCAAAAATGCCCCAAAATTAAAAAAAAATCCTCCCAAAAATTCAAAAAAAATCCCAAAATAATCCCTCAAAAACTCCAAAAAAGCCCAAAAATTCAAGAAAAATCCCCCAAAAATCCCCCCAAATTCTCCCAAATTTCCCCAAATTCTCAAAATTTAAGAATAATTCCTAAAATCCCCCAAATTCCCCCAAATTCCCCAATTCCCCTCACCGATGTACTCGTCCACCTGGATGAATCCGTCCCCGTCCCGGTCCAGGTCCTCGATCGTCTCCTGGGGAAAAAATTTGGGAATTTGCCCCAAAATTCCTCCCTAAAATGCCCCAAAATTCATCCCCAAAAAACCCCAAAATTCCTGGAAAATTTCACAAAAAATTTTAAAAAAATCCTCAAAAAAATTCCTGGAAATTTCCCCAAAAATGTTGAAAAAAATCTCAAAAAAATTCCTGGAAATTTACCCAAAAATTAAAAAAAAACCTCAAAAATTCCTGGAAAAATTTAAAAAAATTGTTTAAAAATCTCCAAAAATTCCTGGGAAATTCCCCAAAAATTTAAAAAAAAATCTCAAGAATTCCTGGGAAATTTCACAATTTTTTTTTTTTTTTAAATCCCAAAAAATCCCTAAAAATCCCATTTTTTGTCCCTTTTGAGGGCGGTTTTGGTGATTTTTTCTGGGAATTTGGGGAATTTTTGGGAATTCTCACCTGCACCACCAGCTCCTGGAGCCGGGGGAAGTCCTAAAACCCAAAAAATCCCCAAAAAACCCCTAAAAATCCCATTTTTGGTCCGTTTTGAGCGCGGTTTTTGTGATTTTTTTCCCCAAATTTTTGGGAATTTTTGGGAATTTGGGGAATTTTGGGAATTCTCACCTGCACCACCAAAACCCCTAAAAATTCACAAAAAAAATCCTGGAAAAAATCCCCAAAATCAAGAAAAAAATCCCTAAAAATCCCTAAAAATCCCATTTTTTGTCCGTTTTGAGCGCGGTTTTTGCGATACTTTACGGGATTTTTTTGGAATTTGGGGAATTTTGGGAATTCTCACCTGCACCACCAAAACCCCTAAAAATTCACAAAAAAATTCTCCAAAAAAAACCCTAAAATCCAATTTTTTGTCCATTTTGAGCGCGGTTTTTGCCATTTTTCGCCATTTTGACCCCAAATTTTTGAGATTTTTTGGGAAAATTTTGGGATTTTTTGGGAATTTTCACCTGCACCACCAAGATCCCTAAAAAAACCCCCAAAATTCCCCAGAATAACCCCTAAAAATCCCAAAAAAATCCCTAAAAATCCCATTTTTGGTCCGTTTTGAGCGCGGTTTTTGCCATTTTTCGCCATTTTGACCCCAAATTTTTGAGATATTTTGGGAAAATTTTGGGATTTTTTGGGAAGTCTGGGACTTCTCACCTGCCCCAACAAAATCGCCAAAAAGCCCCCCAAAATTCCCCAGAATAACCCCTAAAAATCCCATTTTTGGTCCGTTTTGAGCGCGGTTTTTGCCATTTTTCGCCATTTTGACCCCAAATTTTTGAGATTTTTTGGGGAAATTTTGGGATTTTTTGGGAAGTCTGGGACTTCTCACCTGCACCAACAAAATCGCCAAAAAACCCCCCAAAATTCCCCAGAATAACCCCTAAAAATCCCAAAAAAATCCCTAAAAATCCCATTTTTGGTCCGTTTTGAGCGCGGTTTTTGTGATTTTTTTCCCCAAATTTTTGGGAATTTTTGGGAATTTGGGGAATTTTGGGAATTCTCACCTGCACCACCAGCTCCTGGAGCCAGGGGAAGTCCCAAAACCCAAAAAATCCCCCAAAAATAACTAAAAATCCACAAAAAAACCTCTAAAAATCCCATTTTTGGTCCGTTTTGAGCGCGGTTTTCGCGATTTTTTCCCCAAATTTTTGGGAATTTGGGGAATTTTGGGAATTCTCACCTGCACCACCAGCTCCTGGAGCCAGAGGAAGTCCCAAAACCCAAAAAATCCCCAAAAAACCCCTCCCCAAAATTCCCCAGAATAACCCCTAAAAATCCCAAAAAAATCCCTAAAAATCCCATTTTTTGTCCATTTTGAGCGCGGTTTGAGTGATTTTTTCCCCCAAATTTTTGGGAATTTGGGGAATTTTGGGAATTCTCACCTGCACCACCAGCTCCTGGAGCCGGGGGAAGTCCTAAAACCCAAAAAATCCCCAAAAAACCCCTAAAAATCCCATTTTTGGTCCGTTTTGAGCGCGGTTTTTGTGATTTTTTTCCCCAAATTTTTGGGAATTTTTGGGAATTTGGGGAATTTTGGGAATTCTCACCTGCACCACGAGGTCCTGGAGCCAGAGGAAGTCCCAAAACCCAAAAAATCCCCAAAACATAACTAAAAATCCACAAAAAAACCCCTAAAAATCCCATTTTTTGTCCATTTTGAGCGCGGTTTGAGTGATTTTTTCCCCAAATTTTTGGGATTTTTTGGGAATTTGGGGAATTTTGGGAATTCTCGCCTGCACCACGAGGTCCTGGAGCCAGAGGAAGTCCCAAAACCCAAAAAATCCCAAAAAAACCCCTAAAAATCCCATTTTTGGTCTGTTTTGAGCACGGTTTTCGCCATTTTTTCCCCAAATTTTTGGGATTTTTTGGGAATTTGGGGAATTTTGGGAATTCTCACCTGCACCACGAGGTCCTGGAGCCGGGGGAAGTCCTCGGGGTGCAGGAAGGCGTCGAGCTCGTGGGGCCCGAGCCGCCCGTCGCCGTCCTCGTCCGCGGCCCGGAAACGGCGCCGGGAACGTTCCAGAAGCTTCCGGTGGGAATCGGGGTCGGGGGAGCCCCCAAAATCTTCTGGGGAGGGGAACAAATTGGGAAAATTAAGCAAAAAATTCTCTCCAAAATTTCCTAAAAATTCCCTAAATATTCCTTTTAAAATTCCCTAAAAATTCCAAAAAAATTCCCCAAAAAATCCCTAAAATTCCCAAAAAACCCCCTAAATATTCCTTTAAAAATTCTCTAAAAATTAAAAAAAACTCCCTAAAAATTCCAAAAAAATTCTGAAAAAATAGCCCCAAAAATCCCTAAGAATTCCTTGTAAAATTCCCTAAAAAATCAAAAAAATCAAAAAAAATTCCCAAAAAATAAAAAAAAAATCCCAAAAAAATCCCTAAATATTCCTTTAAAATTCCCAAAAAATTCCAAAATAATTCCCCAAAAAATCCCTAAAATTCCCAAAAAACCCCTAAATATTCCTTTTAAAATTCCCTAAAAATTCCCCAAAAAATTTAAAAAATTCCAAAAAATAGCCCTAAAATTCCTCAAAAAATCCTTAAAAATTCCTTTAAAAATTCCCCAAAAATTCCAAAAAATTCCAAAAAAATCCCTAAAATTCCCAAAAAACCCCCTAAATATTCCTTTTAAAATTCCCTAAAAATTCCCCAAAAAATTTAAAAAATTCCAAAAAATAGCCCTAAAATTCCTCAAAAAATCCTTAAAAATTCCTTTAAAAATTCCCCAAAAATTCCAAAAAATTCCAAAAAAATCCCTAAAATTCCCAAAAAACCCCCTAAATATTCCTTTTAAAATTCCCTAAAAATTCCCCAAAAAATTTAAAAAATTCCAAAAAATAGCCCTAAAATTCCCCAAAAAAACCCTAAAAATTCCCCAAAAATTCCAAAAAATTCCAAAAAAATCCCTAAAATTCCCAAAAAACCCCCTAAATATTCCTTTTAAAATTCCCTAAAAATTCCCCAAAAAATTTAAAAAATTCCAAAAAATAGCCCTAAAATTCCCCAAAAAAACCCTAAAAATTCCCCAAAAATTCCAAAAAATTCCAAAAAAATCCCTAAAATTCCCAAAAAAAAACCCTAAATATTCCTTTTAAAATTCCCTAAAAATTCCAAAAAATTTAAAAAAATTCCAAAAAATAGCCCTAAAATTCCTCAAAAAATCCTTAAAAATTCCTTTAAAAATTCCCCAAAAATTCCAAAAAATTCCAAAAAAATCCCTAAAATTCCCAAAAAACCCCCTAAATATTCCTTTTAAAATTCCCTAAAAATTCCCCAAAAAATTTAAAAAATTCCAAAAAATAGCCCTAAAATTCCCCAAAAAAACCCTAAAAATTCCCCAAAAATTCCAAAAAATTCCAAAAAAATCCCTAAAATTCCCAAAAAACCCCTAAATATTCCTTTTAAAATTCCCTAAAAATTCCCCAAAAAATTTAAAAAATTCCAAAAAATAGCCCTAAAATTCCCCAAAAAAACCCTAAAAATTCCCCAAAAATTCCAAAAAATTCCAAAAAAATTCTCAAAAAATTCCCCAAAAAAATCCAAAAAAATCTCTAAAAAATCCTTTAAAATTCCCTAAAAATTAAAAAAAATTTAAAAAAAAAAACCAAAAATCCCGAATTCCTGACCTGTGTCTCCGAAGCTCTCCGCTCTGAACTCCTCCCAGGTCACGACGCCGTCGCGGTCGCGGTCCAGGCGCGCGCTCTCGCTGCCAAACACCCCCAAAACCCCCTAAAAAATCCCTAAAAACTCCTCAAAAATCCCAAAAATCCCCCAAAAAATCCCAACAAACACCAAGAAAATCCCATAAAAACATCAACAGAACCTGTAAAAAACCCCCAAAAAATTAGCAAAAAAATCCACAAAAAACTTACTAAAAACCTCAAAAAAATGAAAGAAAAAATTCCCAAAAAATCACGAAGATCCAAAAAAAAATCCCAAAAAATCTGCAAAATATTCCCAAAAAATGTCAAAAAAATTTCTTCACAAATGGCCCAAAAAACCCCAAAAAACTCTCAAAAAACCATGTAAAAAATCCCAAAAAAATCCCTAAAAATTCCCAGCCTCCTTCGGGACTCCTCGGGGGGCAGCTCCCGCTGCTCCCGCGCCTCCTGCGCCCCCCAAATGGCGGCGTGGTCCCAAAAAAGCCCCTCGGGGTCGTCGTGGCTGTGGGACTGGGGAGCCCCGAAATGGGGGTGGGGGGCGTGGGGGGACCCCCCGAGGGTCACGGCCACCAGCGGCCACAGCCAGGCCAGCAGCATCTGGGGAGAAAAAGGGAGAAATTGGGAAAAAAGGGGATTAAAAGGGCTCCGAATGGGGAGGAACGAGGTGGAAATTGAGGGGAATGGGCTCAGAATTGAAAGAAATCAGGCAAAAATGGCCCAAAATAAGCCAAGAGTGGAAAGAAATGAGGAAAAATGGTCCAAAATAAGCCAAAAATGGAAAGAAATGAGGCAAAAATACCCCAAAATAAGGCAAAAATGGAAAGAAATGAGGCAAAAATACCCCAAAATAAGCCAAAAATGGAGAGAAATGAGGAAAAATGGTCCAAAATAAGCCAAAAATGGAAAGAAATGGGGCAAAAATGGCCCAAAATAAGGCAAAAATGGAGAGAAATGAGGCAAAAATGGCCCAAAATAAGCCAAGAGTGGAAATAAATGAGGAAAAATGGTCCAAAATAAGCCAAAAATGGAAAGAAATGAGGCAAAAATACCCCAAAATAAGCCAAAAATGGAGAGAAATGAGGAAAAATGGTCCAAAATAAGCCAAAAATGGAAAGAAATGGGGCAAAAATGGCCCAAAATAAGGCAAAAATGGAATGAAATGAGAAGAAAATTGAGAGAAATGGGCCCAGAATGAAGAGAAATGAGCCCAAAGTGTCCGAAAATTGAGAGAAATGAATGCAAAATGCCCCAAAATTGAGAGAAATTAACCAAAAATGCCCCAAATTGGAGAGAAATTAACCCAAGGTTGAGACCAATGAGCTCGAAATGCCCCAAAATTGAGAGAAATTAACCAAAAATGCCCCAAATTGGAGAGAAATTAACCCAAGGTTGAGACCAATGAGCTCGAAATGCCCCAAAATTGAGAGAAATGAGCCCGGAATGGAGAGAAATGAGCCCAGAATGGAGAAAAATGAGCCCAAAATGTCCCAAAATATAGAGAAATGGACCCAGAATGAAGGGAAATGAGCCCAAAGTGTCCCAAAATTGAAAGAAATGAACCCAAAATGCCCCAAATTGGAGAGAAATTAACTCGAAATTGAGAAAAATTGAGAGTAATGAGCTCAAAATGCCCCAAAATTGAGAAAAACGAGCCCAAAATGTCCCAAAATTGAGAGAAATGAGACCAACATTGAGAAAAATTGAGAGAAATGAGCCCCAAATGTCCCAAACTTGAGAGAAATGGGCCCAGAATGAAGAGAAATGAGCCCAAAGTGTCCCAAAATTGAGAGAAATTAACCCAAAATTGAGACCAATGAGCTCAAAGTGCCCCAAAATTGACAGAAAGGAGCCAAGAATGAAAAGAAATGAGCCCAAAGCATCCCAAAATTGAGAGAAATTAACCCAAAATTGAGAGAATTGAGAGAAATTAACCCAAAATGCCCCAAATTGGAGAGAAATTAACCCAAATTTGAGACCAATGAGCTCGAAGTGCCCCAAAATTGAGAGAAAGGAGCCAAGAATGAAAAGAAATGAGCCCAAAGCATCCCAAAATTGAGAGAAATTAACCCAAAATTGAGAGAATTGAGAGAAATGAACCCAGAATTGAGAAAAATAGAGAGAAATGAGCCCAACATGTCCCAGAATGGAGAGAAATGAACCCGAAGTTAAGAAAAATTGAGAGCAATGAGGCCAAAATGCCTCAAAATTGAGAGAAATGAGCTCAGAATGTCTCAAAATTGAGAGAAATTAGCCCGAAATGCCCCAAATACTCCCCAAAAAGACCCCAAATACCCCCAAAATGTCCCCAAGACTCCCCAAATCCTCCTCAGACCCCCCCCAAACCCCTCAGAACTCTCACGACTCCCCAAAATCCCCCTCAGGACCCCTCAAAACTCCCCTAAAACCCCCCAAAACTCCCCCAAATTCTCCTCACACCCCCCCAAACCCCTCAGGACCCTTCGGGACCCCGTGAGTGGCACCCCAAAATCCCTAAAATCCCCAAAAACCCCACCCTGACACATCCCTGATCCCCTCAACCCCGGCTGCGGGACCCCCCCGGTGAGTGGCACCCCAAAATCCCTAAAAACACCAAAATCCTACCTTGACATCCCTCTGAACCCCTCAACCTCGGCTGCGGGACCCCCCCGGTGAGTGGCACCCCAAAATCCCTAAAATCCCCAAAACCCACTTTGACATGCTCCTGAACCTTTCAAGCCTGGCTGCGGGACCCCCCCGGTGAGTGGCACCCCAAAATCCCTAAAATCCCCAAAATCCCCACCTTGAAATCCCTCTGATCCCCTCAACCCCGGCTGTGGGACCTCCCTGATGAGTGGGACCCCAAAACCCACCCTGACACCCCCAAACCGACCCCTAAATCCCGCCAAAACATCCCCCAAACCCAACCTGAACCCCTAAATCCCCCCAAAACCCCTCCTGAACCCCAAAACCAGCCCCAAAATCCACCCTGAACCCCCAAACCACCCCCTAAGCCCCCCCTGAACCCCCAAACCAGCCCCAAATCCCCCCAAAACAGCCCCCAACCCCCTCCTGAACCCCCAAATCAACCCTTCCAAACCCCTCCCGAAACCCAAAAACAACCACAAA